TGGATGGATGGATGGATGGATGCTTAATGTATCAAAAACACTTGATTAAGTTCAGGCACCAGAGCTACTTGGTTAGGTCTGGGAAAACATCATAGTTTGGGTTAAAATATACCTAAACACAAAGCTCTGGTTCTGTTTTAAGGTTGCTGGGATGATGAGTCCGACTGAAAGACGTGGACATGTTTGTTAAATTTCTGTTTTGTGCTCTGGACCAGCGTAGCTATCATACATGTCGGTGTGAAACTGGGCTGCTCCAAGCTTCGTGGACGTCACCGCTGCTGCATCATCGTCCTCCTACTCTGCTCCTACACTGAGGCCACTCGAGGACGTCGTCACTTAAACATAAATATGTAGTTTTGCCGCGTTCGCTGAAAACGACTGATTGTGTCGCTTCATCTTGCCTCAACTTCAAACGCCTCCACGTAAAGAACTGTACATAATTTAGCAGCATTCTTGTGTCTGTTCTGAGAGTGTGAGATGGGAAACACTGGAGCTCGCACAGAAAGTACTTTCCGTGATATGAATATGACAGGCTGGTGTGAATTTAATGACAGGCATCAAAAGAATACGAAGAAAGGGATGGGATGTATCTTTAGCTATTAAATCTTTATTCACTTCCTCCATGCTGTGCAGCTCCTCGACTCTTTGCTCAGTCAAAAGTTTTTTTTTTGTCCTCCTGAAATAGCACCAGAACTTCATCTAGCGGAGGGCCACCACGCTGATGGATGGTAATGCTAAGACAGACTACAATGAGGCTGGCGGGACTCTCGGGTGTAGATCCAGTAGACACGGGGGCTAATAATAACACCGCCTGACGTTGGCATTCCTCCACCTGTCACGACGGCTGTCATTCCGTTGTTTTGTTGTCTCGCTGCTTTCCCCCCTCACGCGGGTGATCCCCTCTGTGATCACAAACTGCTTTCAAAATCCGATCAGGTAGAGCTCGCATGAATATTCATCGCAACATTGAAGTGCGACTCCTGACTGTCACCTTTATGCTGATTTTTTGGCAGCTGTCTCAACATAAAAGACTGTCTTTGAAATCTGTCTTTTGATTATCAGAGTCTGGTCCCTTGTAGGATTGAGGGGTGGCTGCAAAAAAAAGGGAAAAAGAGTGTGTAGTTTGAAGCTGTGTCCATTATGATGCACGCTGGCTGGTTTACAACCGATTCTAATAGCAGCTGTTTTTCACTGGAGAAAAAAAGTACATTTAAAGTCATTTACTGCCTGTCAGTCTTTTATAACAGCACAAAATTACACTTTTCAAAGTACAGTCTCTTTTTTTTGTTATTATTAATAAATTTTTTTTTACTAGAAACCAATTCTAACTCGCTACAGAAGAGCCTTTCTTTGAAAATTATGTAAGCTTTCCAGACCGGTGCGAGTGGATTAATGATGTTCAAATGCTTTTGTAAAAATAAGATTCCTTTGTGGGGGAAAAAAAGGGAAATAAACAAGTTATTTTTCAGTGTAATAATGAATACACATTTGATGTACCGTTTGTTGGTTTATAGTATGTTAATTAAATAAATGTGCTGTTTGTTTTTTTTTTTTTAATCCATATTCATGCCAGAGTCGACACGGCGCATAATTCTGTCCCCTCATGTTCTGAGCAACTTTCCTGTTTTGTCACTGCTACTGTTGTGTGTCTGTGTTCGTCGCCTCTGATTGTAGATGCAATTTAAAGGAGGGAATGCTTTGTTTAAGGGATTCCATAAGAAGCTGTATATGCATCTATAAAACAACTCCAGATTTGATTTAAACCAGAGGAGAGACGTCACCCCGCTGCAGATATCTGAAGATACATACACTCTGTCAGCTTCTGAGGATTACATTTCATTTAAAGTGTGGCTGGTGGTGGAGAAGAGGGAAATACAGGAACTGAGAGAAAAACAGATTAACCTTACATCGAGGCTGAGGCGGGAGAGAAAAGATGAGGAGACAAATTAAGACAGAGGGAGCTGAGGAACGCACAGAGGCATTATGCTTCCCGTTTTACTCAGGGGAACAAATGAATAATTGATAAAGAAAAGGATTAATGTACGGGGGGGGTGATAAGGTATATTTCCTCAGCTTATAATATGCTAAATTAAATTAAAGTTTAAATTGTACACGTTAATGGAGCGCTCATTAAAAAAGTGCAGCGTGGGTAAATATTTGCCTTAATGCAGGAGACAGAGGCGGTTTTCCTCCAGCGAGCTCAGCTACTTTTAAGTGTCTAATTCTAAAACTTGAAGCACATAATGTCTCCTGATTGACTGATGATGCATCAACACCGGCTTTGTCTCGGCACACTTTGATCTGAATGCTGGATGGTGCTGATGCTCCCCACGTTTACCAAAAGTCCACAAGAAGCTCCCATATTTAGATTTGTTTGAGGTTGTTTAAACTTAAAGGTGTGGAATAAAAGCTGTTAGGATGCAAAGACATTTACTTCCTAAAGCTCTCCGCTGCTGAGAGACATCCAGAGATAGTGGAAATGACTTAGTGGAAACCAGTAAACGAGGACTGGGTGGGTTATTGTGGTTTTTATGTTGTGCAGTGAAACCTAAACTAAATCAGTGTTTATGTCAGGTTGCTTCTCTCCTGCTCTCTGTGCTCATGTGCACTAAACTCCCCAATAAATCTCAAGTCAAGTCAAGAATCTTTATTGTCATCATGCAATTGGTTTTCACCAGTTGGTAATACCGGCTTTAAAGTCAGCATTAAAAGACGTGGACAGTAAAACATAGAATGCCTTTATTGTCACTATGCACATGTACAATGAGATTAGATTAGATGAGATTAAACATACAGTGCATTGAAAAAACCCAGTAAAAATACATTAAAAGTAAGAATATATACAGTATATGTATGCAGCAGTGCAAGGTGCAGCGTCAGGTCCATGTCGTCTCAGATCTGCCGTCATGTTTCTGTTGAGGTATTAAATAGTGGCAGCTTATTAGGACTACATGCTAACCGACTTCATATCCATTTCTAAGCTGCTGCTCTGCACTTCTACTATAACCACAAACTCACCAAGTTAGAACAATTGTTATGCTTTAAATTAATTAATACTGTAATGTAAAATGATTGCTCCACGCTGTCGATCACAGAGAGAGTCTTCTTCCTGAAAGAGGCTCAGCTGCATTTAAAGCTACAGACACTAAAGCAGTCTGTTTTAAACAGGACTACAACAAAGGAGTTTAGGTGTCTCTGTGTCTGTTTCATGACTGATGAGAGAATGGAGCGCGGGATGGACCGATCAGCATCAGCAGTGATGCAGGAGCTGAACCGAACCGTGGTGCTGAAGAGGGAAGCTCTTGATTTACCAGTCAATCTAAATCCTCTGTTATGGTCATGAGCTCTGGGAAGTGACTGAAAGAATGAGGCTGCAGATACAGGCGGCTGAAATTAGTTTCCTTTGAAGGCTGTCTGGAGCTCAAACATCCGGAGGGAGTCGAGTCTGATGAGGAAGCCTCATAGGTGACTGCTGGGAGGAGACCCCGGGCTGGACCAAGAACTCACTGGAACTTATCTGGAATGTGTTGGAAAGAACCGGAAAGTGTTGTTGGAGAGAAGGAAGCCTGGAAGCTTCACCTGCTGCCTCCACAACCCGACCCCGGGCGAGGGGAAGAACATGGATGAATAAAAGCAAGGGTTACATGCTCTCGGTAAAACGAACCATCTCTGCAGCAGTTTGAGCTGAAAAAATTGAAAGACACATTCTGGGAAAATGTGAGACTGACATGAATTTGCTGAAAAGCGGCACAATATGGGACCTTTAATATAGTGGCCACCCCACATTATACCTACAACTTCCATCACGCAGAGCAAATTTTACATTAACAATCACTGGAGAAGGAGCAATTGTAAAACAGTGAATACATTTTTCTGAGCGTCGCAAACTCTGTGAAATGACTCCGTATATTATCAGAGGTCTCGGATATGGCTGCTCCCTACGAGCTCAACCGGAGAAGATGATAGGCTTCATTTGTGAGCTGCATGGGGCCCAAAAAATATAGAAGTATGAGAAAGCTGGTGGGATCATAAAGTTTATTGTAGCCACGTGTCTGAGAACGTATATGCTCTTCTAAATAAAATGATCTCAGAGCTTCAGATCTGTGTTTTGGACTTTTTAAATGGATCCATTTGCCAGTCGGAGATGCAAACTTTTGTTTAACATCAACACAAAGCTTCTCTATCTTTGTTTATCCTGTTACCGGGTTACTTTGATGCACCGGGCTCTTAGTTTTATTAAAATGAATCATGATAATATCAGATAAATGTCTTGAAAATGACCATGAACTGGTCGGAAACTCCTCCTCTCGCTCCTCAATTTAGACCCAAGAAATGGGTTCCAAATGCTGTTTTGATGTGTGTTCAGATGCCTTTTAATAGCATTTTATTGCAGAGTTTTAAAGACTCGCGTTCCCCAAGAAAACATGATGTAAGTGTTGAGAGTCAGCTTTGATTTTTTTACATGTTTTAATGGCATTAACTCATTAAAATTCCACAATCGCCACAAGAACCATAAAGTGTTGGATGGCTGTAATCAATTAAAACACGCTGCAGCTCTTTGAGGAGGAGGATTTAAATGCATTGGACTGTATTGCTGCTCTGGTTGTCAGTGAGTCCAAATCAGGTCAGGGTTCATTACGGGTTTTTATGAGTCGTCTCCTTACATGACTGAATAAACCAGAGGTGAGAACTTTGTTTAGCGCCTTTGTGTGAGTGCGTTTTTACGAATGAGCGTCAGAGTCTTGCTGTCGAATCGCCCATTTTCGGTTCATTATGTGGCTTCATTCACAGAGTGACAGGACTGGCTGGGAAGCGCTGACACCGTGTGTGAAAAATGACTTGTAATAGACTATTACTGCACAAGAACTGCTCATCTCCAGCAGCCTGCCTCTGGGATGTTCACCGGGAATACAAAACACAGAGCGAGAGAGAGACGGAGGGGAGTCGGGCTGACACTGAGATGGATTGACTGGCAGAAAGTGGTGAAGATGCCGAGAATCCGGGCCGGACAAAGAGGCGCCGCCGAGGCGAGGTGAGCTCCAGGTTGACTTTGAAAGGGAAGACAGAAATGTTCGACTGTGGCTCTGGCACATGAAGATAATTCTGGGGTTTATTTACCAGCAT